CTGGCCGCTATGATTACCAGAAATTATTACAGTGAATTTCAGTTAATCATTAAATAATTCGAACAACTGTGAAAGATAGCAGCTGTTGCTAAACAAATAAATATACACATTAGACTCAGCAGTTCGATTATTTTTTTATTATTGTGTAGAAATTAAACAAAATTTGAAAGCTGATTACAACGACTATCACAATATTACTGCAGTTGTAACATATAGCAAATTTTAACGGATGCTGCTTAGCGCTGGAACTTCACATCGGGTCCAGATCGGTTCATGGAAGCTAGTCAATGATACGCAGGTGCCATGCACAATCTCAAGATTGCCACAAGTGATATCCAATGTCGGGTTTGCAATTGTTGTGGCACTGTCGGCGTTTTTGGTTTTTAATCCAAACGGTTGCACCATTCCTTTAAAACCGGGTTGTATGTGCCGCTCACATTGCGAATAAAATCTCCTAGATAAGTGCGCGTCCGAATCAGTGCAAATCTTTGATAGGAACTGAGGAACAGAGTCATTTGGAAATCCTTATAGCTGCATAGATACCAGCAGTGAGCACGTCATCCATTTTAACGTCGAATGCAGTACATTACCGGTTTCTCCAATTCTTGCCGATCCAGCATCGTGTGCTCGCTCCACCAACTGCTCCGATATGAGGCAAGTTTTCGTTTTCGGTCAAAACACCTTTTATCCGCTTTAACACTCTTGCAAGACGCTCATGCTCCTGCTCGTCAGTTTTCTCCAGCAGTGGTCGAAGAATCTGGGTTTTGTGTTTTGGATAAAACGGTATCCCAAATCTGCACTTTCCTGTCCAGCGTTTTCCGCATGTAGCAGCATGTCTTTGGCACAAAAATTCAAGAAAATGCGGGCTGTAACTGGATCCTTCTTGATCCTGATGGTCAACTGTAGAGGAGCATGCAATAAATCTGTCGATTAAACTGCATATCTCAAGTTCATTTTGTCCAGGGACCGTGTCGAAAACTGGTACATCGCTTAGCCAAAGAAGCTGATGTATGTGAGGCGATCTTCGCTGCTGAAATTCCACTCTGTAACATGAGTGAGCAATTGCTTTGCCTTCGAATGGACCTCCAGGGAAATCCCACAGCTTTCTCTGTTCTTGATACCGGTAATTAAAATATCGAGCATACGTAACTGGATCAAACTGAATTAACCTCGATTTTTCAGCGTATTGCAATGTAAGTGTTTCTGCTGAAGTAATGCTTTCGCGATCAACAACCCGTTTCAGAATCTGGAAAAGTTCGGGCTACTGTGTCTCAGCCGCTGAAAGACTGCGGAAGAAGGTTGTCCGTGCAAACCGCCTTATGATTGCCAACACTTTCTGCTTTTCACTGTGCCAATGTGTGCAGGAATTTCGGACACCAGTAAGAACATGATAAGCATCATCGTGCTGCACAAGCTCGTGGATGAAATCATTGTTGCTGAGATTAACAGCATTGATGCCATTGCGATTGCGGATTTTCTTTTTTCGTAAGCATAAAGATATCTTGCTAGACAATCTCAGCAACTCAATCTTCTTCGCTCTGAAGAATAAGTAATCGGGGCGTTGCGCTACTCTTCGGTCGTATCGCATTGCAAATGATTTGGCGATATCTAAGATGAGGCGATGTTGAAAGGCGAGCAGTTGAAATGAAAAATGTTTGATATGTTTGTCGAGAAGGATTGAAAGAGGTTTGCAACCTTCGCAGAAGCCAACCTTATGCCATACTGACTCTCCTCAGCCGACAACATAGTTTCCAGCGCACCGGGTTAAGAGGTTCAGCATCTTCATCTTTCTCCGGTTCGATGTCTGCATCTGCAGTGGGCTGGACGTGACAGTGATGCATCAACCAATTGTCAGCAACAGCAATATTGTGAGAGCGACAAAGGTTGTGCCGTAAGGTGCACAACAGCTCGTCAGACGCAGTTTGGTCTGACGTTGCCGGTAATGTAATTGCCTTTATACTGCATTCGTCGTGCAATGCGGACATGCACGACATGCGCATCAGTGGGAAGGCGAGGAGGCAGCGACGCCGTCGTGTCAACGAAAATAAGGACATTAACAATTCCTCTTTTGCAGCAGAACTGACCAGACGTACCGTGAGACGGCCAGATTGTTTGGAAAATGTGACGAGCAGCCACGAATCATTCTTCTAGTCTTGTCAAAATCTTCTAGTTTTGTGGTCCACAACAGGGAAGTGCAACCCGTTTGAAAGACAGTAACATCGCCAAACAAAGTTAGAAAATGGCGGTGTAAATTTTTCGGCAAATCTGTAAAGTGAACGGCGGATGAAAAAAATTTCGCTCCCCACCAAACCTCTAAATCTCTGCTTCGGATCAAAAAAGAAAAGTTTCCTGACATCAAAGTATCAGAAAACTAGAAAAAATAGCAAAATTAACGTTGCATTCAGCATTTAATTCTTTGCGCACACGTTTTACATAAGAAGCATTTCTCGATTTGCGGCAGACAAAATACATTTCTTATGAGACTTCTTCGGGCTTCATTTGCGCCACTAGCTTGCAGTAAATATGACATTTTGAGTGTTTTAACAGAATGTCGGAGTTCTGATCTACCGCATCAGTTACATGTGTACACTCGCCCCTCCTTCACTGCAGTCCCGTACGCTCCAACACCTGATGTGCAAGTGAATCTTCATTGCTGCTGCTTTGCTTCCCGCTCCCTAATGCGTTCCTGGTCACGCAGTTCCCCAATACTTCGTCGATGCTGTATCCACAATGCATTCTCTTGACGCTCCCTTTCTCTTTCACCAGCAGATGTGCACTCCTTGCGCATTCTCATTGATTCTGAATTCATCTCCCTTTCGTTTTCTCTTCACTGCAGGTCTGTTTCCCAGCGTTGTCGCATTGCTTCAGCATTTGCAGCCCTCTTTCTTTCCCGGAATTCGGGGCCTGCCTTTCGCTGTCGTTGCCCTACCTCAGCATCTGCAAGCCTTTCCATTTCTCGATAGTCCGTTTCTCGACTTGTCGCACTGCTTTGACATTTGCAATCCTTTCCATTTCTTGGTATTCGAAGTCCCTCTCTCCACGTTGTCGCATTGCTTCAGCATTTGTAGCCCTCTCTCTTCCCCAGAATTAGATGTCTGCCCTTCGTCGTTGTTGCTTAGCTTCAGCATCTGCAGTCCTTTCTCTTGTTTTGTGACCTTCATCGGAAGCCCTCTGTTTTATCATTGCTCCCCTGTTCGCAGCATTTTCTCTCTGCTTGTAATTATGATCCTTACGGAGCAACCACATGCGTTTCACTGCCTTTTCCCTTCTCTGTATTTACGATTGACTGGAACATTTGGAACAGCATTCGCAACCAATTCGATATTGCTTCCTTCTTGCGTAGTGCTGGATCAGTTCATATCTGAAAGAACTTTAAAAGTAAAATTTTAACTGAAAAATTTATCCGAAAGAATTTAGAATTGGAATTCTAATACAAAAGTACATTGCTGATCTCATGCAATTGTCAACAAATTCACAGTGGTTTAAACTGCGTTGCAGCAGGAGTTGCTCAAATTTGGTGTAATTATGCGTTTTGGCATATATGCAAATGCAAAAACGCATTTCGTGATAACCCATGGTAAGCGTGTGTATGTTGTGTGCGTGTGTGTGTGTGTCTGCCCGGGTACAACTCGGCAATCAAGCAGGCTCCGGCGCTAAAATTTTGCTAGTGGGTTCTCCGGCTAAGTTCGGCTTCAAGATTGTTTACGAATAGTAAAGGTGGTACCAAGCAGGGCAGTAATGGCTCTGCATCTTGTAAAAAATTGAATATCGGGTGGTTTTTATGCGTTTTTTGCACTATGCAATGCAGAAAACGCATATTAACGAGGGGTTGTCTATGTGTGCGCGCTGGGCGTCTGCACTGATTTGTCATCTCGAGACCTACATAACCTACAGGGCTCACTCTTTGAGAACTTAATCTACATGCATGTACGGGTCTCCATCCCCAAAATGGGCGGTCCTACTCGCGTG